TCATGAGCATGAGGAGCCCGCCCCCCAAAGCCCTGGACAGATCAAAAGCACCAAACACCCAAGAAGGAAACCATAAACCACACGTCCTAAATGCTGCAACATCAGCCCTAAAGCTAATAGCCTATATAATTGGGTACGGCCCCCATACAGTAACGGTTTATAATAGGGCTACCATTAAGGGCCTTATAGATCTACATTATGAATATTATCCAACTGTTACTGAGTGGGGGCCGTACCCAACCTATATAAACCAAACCCAAAACCCAGAATGCCGTAAACGACCTTACTTCCCTGGACCCGGCACCCTCAACCCAACACCCTAAACCACTATAGCGCCCAGGTGCAGCCACCATCCTTTGTGCCTCGGAGAAGAAATTGGGGCAATTCTTTGTCGGACATAAATTCCCACAACAAGTCGTAATAGCAGCAATAGTCACCGTCACATTCGTCACCATAATAAGAACAATAATGGTGACAATAATCACAATCAAAACATTGATAACTATAGAAATATGTTTCACCGATATTCAGAATGTTAAAAATACTAATCACACTCACAATAATACTACCAAGAAGAAGAAGAGTGCTGGGTTCTACAGGTCGTATGTCAGTGGAAGGTCGTACATATGGCTGTGCTGGTCAAGCTTGCTAGGGATCCAAGGTTAACTTTGGGAGTACATAGGGATTGTACTGCTGCTCGGGGTTTTCAAGAAACCAGACAAAGCCATCGTGCGCATGCTCGACTACTTCATTGTGAAGTGTTGGGCGTGTAATCCGGTGTCTGTTCCGGCCAATGCTTTAGTGGGCCCCCCACCCCCAAACAAGCATTTACACCCCTTCATGATAAAGCTCAACAATTTAGGTGTATCCCTGTAACATGCCTTATGCTGATGTCCTACTTGGGTCCCTAATGTAGGGGAGCTAGCATCTTAGGGATTAGTTGGGTTTTGAGCAGCGGCTCAGACACCGCAAACCCTGAACCCCAAACCCTAAAACCCTAAACCCGACAACCAGAAAGCACCAAAATCACAAAAACAAAAATATCCCAAAACCCCAAACCCAAAAACCTTGAACCCTAGAGCCAGGATTTTCAAGCTTTGGGGGTGGGAGGCTGCAATTTGGAACTATTTGCGGGTTTTATGGCTTAGGGTCTTGGTTTAGGCGAGCCTAAACCGCCCAAGCCTAAACCTGATCCCGACAGCCGAAAAATGCCTCTAAAACCCATGCAAGACCCTAAATCCGAAATGGAGCTCTGAAAGAGCCCTTCTAAAACTCTGATAGGACCTCTGAAGCCGAATAGGACTCCAAGACAGCCCATCTGGAACCTCAGAGTGCCAAGGCCTTGGGCATAACAATAACAATTTAACAAATCATAATTGGGGGGGGTTATAGCATGGCATTTTTAACCGGGGGCTAGAAGGGATAATACTAACCGCTCTTCCGTCAGACCCCACTATGACCTCACGATCGAGCTAAGCCCTAAACCCTGAACCCTAAAAACCCTAAAACCCCTAAACCCTCAACCCTATAACCTGTATAGATCCCTTTAAAGGAAGCCTACCTATAACCCGACTTATAACTACCCATGAACCTCGACCCTAACGCTAAGGCCCTAAATCCTAAGCCCTGAAACCCTAAACCCTAAACTTCAAGGGTAAAAGGAGGGACCCTTAATAAGGACCCCTAAGTACATACCCTTAATATAGCGATTATATACCCATTATATAGGGGTAGGGGTCCCCATTAAGGGTCCCTCCTTTTGCCTCCTTTTGCCCTTTGATAAACCCCAAAGCCCTGAAATCCCCTAAGTCTCCGGCCACCTGCCCCCTTTCCAGCTGTACACGCCGTATCCATGCAGGTCGTTCCTTGCTTCAAAAGGCTCAGGGGCAGTTTCGGGTTTAGGGATTTAGGGTTTAGGGGCTTAGGGCTTTCGGGCTTAGGGGTTTAGGGGTTCAGGGGTTCAGGGTCTAGGGGTTTAGGGTTTACAGGGCTTGCAGGGTTTAGGGGTTAAATACTGTACCTGGGACGGGCGAGTAGGATTAAAGAATTGAAGGACGCCAGCACACTCGGTTAGGGGTTAGGGTTCAGGGTGTAGGGTACTGCCCCCACCCTGCAACAGGCTTATAGAGGTCACAATAAAGTCTCTCTCTCTCTCTCTCTCTCTCTCTCTCTCTCTCTCTCTCTCTCTCCATAATATATATATATATATATATATGTATATTGATTTACAAATACACGGTAATTGCTGTATAAACACCATCTAACTGTTACAGATTGGGGGGCAATACCAACCTGATAGACCCCAGAAACCAAGCGCTAGTCATAAAGGCCCCCATAGTCGGATCTTCATTGCTTCACCTTGGCTCCGCGCTTGTGTTTTGGGCTCTCAGAGATAGGGCTCCCGATAACCCCGAAACAGCTTCTACAGTTTTCCGTGGGCCTCCCAAGAAACATGAAACCTAAGCCCTCCACCCCCTTCAGCCTCTAAGCTTCCCCACCGTAAAGCCTATGTTGGGGTTTGGGCTTTAGGCCCTGTAATGGTGACTATAAGGAGTATATAAGAGCCCTATTATATTCCTATTACAGGGTGGGGGCCCCTTCTAAACAATATTGGCCAAGCCCTACCAAATTTTTGGGTATGTAAACAGCGAGCTGATAAGACATGCGGAAGCATAAGGACCCACAGACGTTCTGCTATGTCGGCACGTGGGCCGCAAAGTACCTGTGTAGGAACCGCTCCAGAGCCAAAGTATACCGTGTATGAACATCTTGACCCTATAAACCGCCAAACCCTGCAATTGAAACCGAGAGACAACCGTATGACATCGCATAAGACCGTGATGAACCCTTGAAGGAACCCTTCATATACAAGGAACGCTTTCAAGGGCAAGCGGAACCTTAAAGGTAAACCCCAACTCCAAAGATGAGATCCAGACCGGCAAACCTCCGAAGCCCAGCAACTCGAGACTCCTAAGCTCCGCAGATAAGATCCGGACTGCTCAAAGGAGCCCTCGTAGTGAGAGCCATCGGACCACTGAAATCGGCCATGACCTCAGGGTTCAGGGTTGAGGGTTGCAAGTTCGGGATTTAAGTAAGGCTTGTTATGTTTCATGGTGTCTTGCTTCAAGGTCTCCAGAGTCCTTGGGGCGTCAAAGGATGTTGGGAAACTTTGGGGCTTGTAAGTGTGATTAAGGAATGCCTGAGGTTTCTTTGCCTTCCTGTTAAAACCTCTTTCGGTCCGCATGTGCGCTGTTGCTTGCTGGTAGGCTATGGCTTAAAGGCTTAAAGACAGCTTGTGGCTCAGGGTCGGAAGCCTGTCAATGTTTGAAGCTTCTCATATCAATATTGGGCGGCTAAACCCCAGACCCTGAAGCCCTAGCCCTAAACTCAGTGGTCAAGCGCTGAAAACAAGGGCCACGAACTGCCCTGTCACACTATCCTCAACCCTAAATAATCCGACCCGAAGCCCTGAAACAAAAGCCACTCGACCCTAAATTACGGTTGATGATGTATATCTTGCATTATCTTTAATGACCCTAGACTATGGGAATAATGGTGATTCCTTATTCTGGGCAATGCAGGATTTACATCATCAGCCGTAGAACAGGGTTTTGGAATACTGTCTAATCTAGCAGACTGTAACCATGAGAGGAACCTTCAGGAATTGCCTTGCAAATAGTGACTGCGTGCAATTTTCAGTATTCTACAAATAAATATGTGTGTATATATATATATATATATGTATATATATATATATATATATATATATACATATATATATATATATATACATAGGTATATATATATATATGTATATATATGTATATTCGACCCATGTATCCGAAATCCGACTTCCGACATCCTGGACCCGATTCGAAACAAACCCTAAGCCCTAACCCCAAAGCCCTGAACCCTAAGCCATGAACCCTGAACTCAAAACCCTGAACCCTAGACCGTAAGCTATGAACCGTAAACCCAACACCCTGAACCCTGAACCCAAAACCCTGAACCCTAAACCCTAGACCCCAAGCCATGAACCCTAGACCCTAAGCCCTGAACCCGAAACCCTGAACCCTAAACCCTAAACCCTGAACCCTAAACCCAAATCCCCGAAAACCTGAAAGAGAAGACCCGGGCCATGCTTGAAGCCGTCCCGATATTGCCCGGTGAATGTGGCACCGTCTGGCCAGCACTCGACACCTAGTCAACTCTCGGGTTCTTAGTAGGGAATGGGGGAATGGATAATGGAGACGATTATTGGGGAATATATAGGGACTACTACAGGGATCCATTCCCCCATGCCCGACTAAGCACCACCTTGTCAAGGTGGGCTTCGGCCTACTTCACTAGGGCCGTTGTAAGGGGGATTGGGGCTTCAGGGCTTTAGGGTTGCTTGGGGTTCGGGGCATGAAGGTTTCAGAGTTGTTGGTATGCCGGCTATGGCTTTGCGGTTTTGCGAATGAAAATAGTTCTTGTGTTCAACGGCAGCATAAAGCAATCTGCTGCCCAGTGCAGGGCTTCTGGGCGGCTGGCTGCCGCCCATACATTGAGCAGCACTACGTTTGCATCATCATCATCATCATCAGCAGCATCGTCATCATCACTATCACCACCCTCACCATCACCATCACCATCATCATTATCTGCATCGCCGGAATCATCAGAATGATCGTCATCAACTGTTTGGCCTTCGTCATCTTCTGCATCATCACGACTCATCACGGTGATTTGTCTTCTGAGCATCATCTGTCTTGCCAGGACCATGTGCTACAACCCAAACGCTGTGGCCTTCTCCGTGCTGTCGGTCGAAGGCGAACTGCCCCTTCCGGCTGTAGGGTTGTGTGCTTTGGGCTCCAGGGTTTAGGGCTCCGTGCTCCACGGGTTTAGGGGTGTTCGGTCGGTTGCGGCTTTGGGCTGGGGGTTGAGTTAAGGACTCAAGCTTTGAGGGGTTAGGGATTTTAGGGTTTAGGAAGACTAAGAGGTTTAGGCTCAGAGCCCGGCAGCCTATTGGGACTTGGGGTTCCGAGCCTGGGGGGTAGCAGAGTTTGGGATTTAGGATCGGGCAATATAGGGGTATTAATCATACGAATATACCGTTTTTCGGGGGAGTATTTCCTACTCCGATGCCCTATGTTTTCTGCAGGCTCGAACATTCAGCCGACGTCCTTAGGCCTCGTACTACCGAAAACTTTACACCCCTATCCTGCCATGGCCTCGTACCGCGACCCGTCCGTGTGGATGTAAAGGCCGGTTCCATGAGCTTGGTCCTGGCAAGGACACTGTTTGGAGTTTACTTGGAGATTCATGGGTAGTTTTTAGTGAGGTTATAAGTCCCCTAATATGGGTTATAATTATAATTACCCTACTTATAAGACTACTTATAACTACCCATGAACCTCCAAGTAGGGCTTAGTGTTTCGGATTTAGAACTGATTTCCAATTTACAGAAGTCCGGTAAGACAGGCCTTGTCATATTTTGAGCTTCATGGCTTTGTCTGGCATCTTCTGGAAACCATTTCCCACCTTTCTGTGTGCTCACAAATCAAATCGCAAAGGTGTAGGTCCGTTCTTGGTCGGGAGGTGTTCGAGCTCTTTGGCCCAAGAATTAGTACTTGATTCGTTCGGAGCTGCCCAAAATAGTTGCCCCCTTTTGCGTCAGTCTCCTTCTTAGCACTTCAAGGATATCCGACTGCGCAACAACCCGGTTCCTTCGGAAAGCTCGCTCTCTAAACCCTACACCCCAAACCCTAAACCCCAAACCCTAAACCCCAAACCCTAAACCCCAAAGCCTAAACCCCAAACCCCAAACCCTAAACCCTAACCCCCAACCCTAAAACCTTAAAACCCTAAAGTCCTGAAGCCTAAACCCTAAAACCTACACCCTAAAAGCAGATCTATAGGGCGGAGCGGGCTTGGACTTCGGCGTTGTGAATGGGTTCGGTGGGATTTGGGAGTTTCCGAAATTAAGGGGGTACCTTTAAAGGGATCCTTTGAGGGTTCCTTAAAGGGCTCTGCAAAGGTTCTATAAAGGGATCAGGGTTTAGGGCTTTAGAGCATCCGAAAATTAGGGGTACCTTATTTTGGGGTCCTTATAACAGGGATCCTACTATTTAGGGTACCATATTAGGGCCGCCTATTTTCGGAAAAACTCATTTGTTGACCATAGCATGTCAGGTGTCCGCACGTGCAATGAGGTCTCGTGAAAATACTCCTAGCCGGCGATTTAGAGAAGCTTACCCCCGAACCCCAAACGAAAAGCCAACTTAAAAAAGAAACGTCAGCTTATCGATGAAGAAATTCGGCAATCTTCTCTATTCAACCCGGAGACAGAAACATTTTCAAGTGATGGGGTCACCATACAGACGCTAATCGCGAGAAGGTGGATGACGAGCATCATGGACGGTTCTAGGGCCAAGCTTTAGGGTACGAGTAATGACAAGGCTGAGCAGAAGCATCCAGATGACCAAGATGAATCATGACCTTGATGACATCAGTAGGGATGCAAAGGAGCAAATACACGCGAGAAGGGCGTCGTTGAGAACAGTGCTGCTACTGTTACTGATGGAGAAACTGGATATGAAGAGGCAGAAGGATGGAATTAATGAGCAGCATCCGAAAGACGTCGACGATGACTGGGTTCGATGTGGACACGGCATGACTACAATCCTGGAAACGTGTTAGTGTCTGTCAACGCTGCTGGCTCAACTTGTCTTCCGGTCTGTGGCTACCTATCTTGGCGTTCTATGAGACACGCTGCAGTCACATCTGGTAGGATGAGAACACATCACAACAAACTTGCAATGCGTTGGCACGAGTGTCCCTTACAGGATTCTTCTACATCGACTTTCATTCATTGCTTCGAGAAGCCGTGCCAACCAACGGCAACTTTCCAGTTAAGTGTTTAGGGTATCGGTCGCCCCATATCACGATTCTACGACTCCGGAAGATTCTCGACATGATTGTGGATGCGCGGGCTTCTGGCACTTAAGAGTACGCTTATGAGGGGTCGATTTGGTGTCCCAGCAGCCACTTACGGTCCACGAGGCATAACCTTAAACCCTAAACCTTAACGCACTATCATGGCCTCCTGCCAGCCCCCGATGTACACATCTCCATCGGGATGCTCGTATCGGCCCTGTCCGTGAGCTTTGCCCTTGGCCTGGGCAGCGAAAATCGGGGATTGAGGGTTTTGGGTTTAGGGATTAGGGTTTAGGACCTTAGGGGCAGCCAGTAGCCATGAACATGGACATGCTGCAGCTCTTTTCGATAGACTGAGGCAGTGCTGAAGCAGTATGAGTGTGGTTGCTTGAAGCACCAGCAGTACTGTACTGCCAACCACAAACAGCTGAGCCTAGGATACTAGAAACTAGAACTGCGTGACGGGTCTGCAGTTCTCATCAGGTTGTTCGCGATCTCTAGCCAAGACGGCAAGATCTCGGGCTCATGACAACGGGCTCCTCTGCTGAAGCCTAACGACAACGTCCTCTCCTGTACTCCAGCCCCCAAAACTGGTGAACCACCTCCGCTTATCTTTGCCGTGCCCTAGACCCCAAAACGATGCGCGGCTCCAATCTGGCAAACCCCCCGCAAGCCCTTAAACCCTCGGCGCCAAAGCACCCATTGGCCGGTATACCGGCCACCGTCCGGCCAGACCTGCCCGTGCAAATGGAGGGGTGGGATGTCAATCAGTTTCCATATCTTTCGTTGAATGTGTAGTATTGCTATTAGTGTTCATGCTACTCGTGTTTGCTGTACTACGACTACTGCTACTGCTACTCCTCCTCCTGCTGCTTCTGCCATTCGTAGTTGTTATTACTATTGTTATCGTTCTTACTCTTGTTTTGTTCTTAACAGCAGTGGTACCATTGAAACAAAGGGGCGGAGATTCCGGAAACCCTAAACTACTAAGATCGTCAATTTGCGGACCGCCGACAAGAGCCAATTGCTCTTCGAAACCTTTCTGAAAGAAGCGCAGCGGAAGTTTAAATCCTAATACTTACAAATTTAACCCTGCTCTTTAGATCCGAAACACTGAACTTTCCTCTGAACACCCTGAAACCTAACCTAAACCCCAGACCCTTTCACCCTGAAGACCGAACCCCTAAAGCCTTCGACCTGAACCCGAAATCCAAACCCCTAAACCCCTCATCCCTTTGGCCTAAAGCCCTTAAAACCTGATATGGGCCTTAATAAATAGAATAGAGTCCATTATACGATAACTACAATAAGGAATCCCCCGAACTAGTATAGGTAATTATACTATAATCACAATAAGGAACCCCCAAAATAGTATTGGTAATTACTAGGGCCCTGAATACAGAACCCAACTATAGATCCCCTATGGACCCCTTTAAGGACCCCCTTTCAAGGAACCCACCTTTTTTTTGAGACCTTCCCTGGGAGCCCCAGGGGGGGCCTGGGTCCCTAGGCCGTGCTGCAGGCCAGACTGGAAGGCACCCGTGTAGACGGAGCCATCCGCGAAAGTGAACTGCGGCCACGGTTTAAGGCTAAGGGACTTGGGTACTTGTCAAAATTAAGGTCCCTTTTTGGAGTTTAGGGTTTATAGGGTTTAAGGCTTATAGGGCTTTGAATTTAAGGTTTATAGGGCTTTGGGTTTAGGGTTTATAGGGCCTTGGTGTAGGGTTTATAGGGTTTTGGGTTTATAAGTTTTAGGGGTTTTGGGTGTAGGGCTTATAGGGTCCAGGAGGGCTTAGGGTTTAAGATTTGGGGCTTTTCAGGGCTTATAATTTATGGGCCTTAGGGTCTAGGGCTTCGGGCTTATAGGGTTTAAGATGTTTAGGAGGGATGGCGCAGGTTTCAGGGTTGGGATTAGGACTCGTCCTGTTAGCACAGGCAGCGGCATGTTCGGTAGCAGCATCTGTGGTACGCCTGAAAACAACTAGGATGCCCAGTAACCTAGGAATAAAACGAGCTTCCCTTTCTGGTATTGGGTAACTTTATAGGGAGCCTAGGACTACAAGGGTAATACTGGGCATCCTAAAACCAAAGGGCCCTTTGTACTGTTGTGGGGGATACTTCCCTAAGTCATAATAGTAATTCCTAAAATGGGAACCCTACATTCTACTATATGGGAGTTTCCGAAAGTAGGGGACCCTAATTTATATAGTACCCTCAATAGTAGGATCCTTATTTGAGGACCCCAAAATAAGGTACCCCTGATTTTCGGAAACTCCCATATCGGTACATAGGACCCTTTGGGTAAAGTAAGCATGCATCTGCCTTCTCCTCTTGTCGGAGTTCGTTCTCCTCCTCGCCGCAGGAGCAGACCTGGCCCTGGCGAAGAGTGGTTTAAGGGACTTAGGGTTTAGGGGTTTAGGGTTTAGGGGTTTAGGGTTTAGGGGTTTAGGGTTTAGGGCTTTAGGGTTTAGGGGTTTAGGGTTTAGGGTTTAGGGGTTTAGGGCTTAGGGTTGCAGTTTCAAGCTTTCGGGGTTTTCGGGTTTGGGAGTCTGGGCCTTTTGGTTTACGGTGTCTTGTGAAGTGCAACTGAGTTGGCCTCCCCGAAACACAAAGGGTCCAGGGCCCCGCGCTTGGAGGTTGGACAAAAGTTTTGGGTGCAGTCGATTAGTTCGACTCCAAGGATATATAATTGGACGGACCCTTAATAAGGACCCCTAGGTATATACCCTTTATATAGCCATTATATACCAATGAAATAGCCCATTATAGGGTAGGGGTCCCCATTAAGGGTCCCTCCTTGTCCCTTCTGATAGACTGGAGGGTTGAGGCTCAGCAAGGCCTCAAACCCATGAGCGAAAGACGCAGGACTCTGAGACCGTAGGGTACTTTTGCCGACAACAACATGCAATGTCCTTCATTGACATCGGGCGCTTAGATCGATCAAGAGCAACAGAATCACGAGCCCCAAAGGCAGAAATCGTCAGTGGAGTAATCCCTAAACACTATACTTAACCCCTAAGCTCTTAAGCCCTAGGTCCAACCAGCTCCTGGCCCAATCTCAACAGGTCCGGGGCACGCCCATGATGCGCTCAGCATCAGCGTCTCAAGGATGCATGTAATCTTGGAGTAATTACGGGCTCTGGGTTCGGGGGGGTGTATGAGTAAAGAAAGACGGACTGTCATAGAAACCCGACTCGGCAGGATCGTTCGTTCTAAAGAACCCTGCAAGCGGAACAATAACAACACTTCTTACTATGTCGTAGTTCTATGAGATTCCGTATCATGCCAGGCTACGGCACAGTTCATGTAACAGACCATGAGTTGAATTCTTCAAATGACGTTGTCGCTCCCCAAATCGCCACACGATCAGCTTACACCGACATGCACCCACATCTGGCCAGGGCAGAAACGCCCTTCCACGCCCTTCTTCTAGTCCTGTCAGATCCATTAAGATGATGAATTGCTGCCTCTTATGCAGTAGACGCTGCTATTTCTATGAAACCCTACGCAGCATGCAGTTCTGCGTCTCATACATGGCTCAACAAGCCTTGGACCGTCCGGCCAGCACCAGCGGGGACAGGCACATGCATGCATGCATGCCGAATATTGGAGCCTCAACAATTTCAGGTTCATAATGACGAGAACATACAACAGAAACAGGTTATGATATTCTAATGAAGCTTTTAACCATGTCCTGCGTCCTGGCTTGGGCTGAGGATTGTGGTTGGAAGTCCTGTGGCTTCAAGTGCTACTACTGAAATCATCAGTCAGGGGTAATCATAACCTACCATGTTGTATGGTTTGGGGCCATCTTTAACCGATGATGTGGGAATGAGGATGGAAGGATTGGAGGCCCTCGTCCTCTCCATAAGCTTTACTGTCTGGTTCTTACTAGGGAATGGGGGAATGGATTATGGAGACCATTATTGGCGATTATATAAGGACTACTATAGGAATGCATTCCCCGATTCCCTACTAAGCAACAGACAGTTTAGGAATCATTAATTTAAAAAGTGGTACTCCAGTAGGAAAACATCTGAGGCCCAGAACCGAGCTGTTTCCTGGTAAGCACCGTTTAAAGGCTTAAGGGGATGAGGCTTTAATGTGGATAAGGCTGTGAGTTTTACCTTCGTACTAGTACTTGGAGGTCCATGGGTAGTTATAAGTGGGGCTAACCGTCCCCTAATATGGGTTATAAATATAGTTACACTACTTATAAGCCGACTTATAAGCTACCCATGAACCTTCAAGTAGACCCTAAACCCTATACCCCTATAGAATCGCTATAGAGCCCTTTAAAGGAAGCCTTATAACTACCCATGAACCTCCAAGTAGGGCGTTTATGGGGGCTTAGGCTCTGAAGGTCCGCCTTTCAGCTTTGACAGCTCGGACCGATGGCTTTGGGTTTGTCAGCATCTCCTGGCCTATAAAGGGAACTCCAGAAAGTTGGAATATGGATTCATGGTAGGATCCCCTATAATTTACCTTAAAGGGGCTACGATAACGATATTCCAACTTTCTGGCTTCTACTGTAACTTACAAGGGGCCCCCACCCCGTAATAGTGACTATAAAGATTCTATTAGGGCCCTATTATATTCCAACTATACCACTATTACAGGGTGGGGGCCCCTTCTAACCTATAACTCACTGGCCCAAAACCCAAGGGAATACAAGTTGACACTTTCAGAATGGACCACCTTCTAACAGTTGAAAAGTTGAGTTTACAGCCACTAAGATGATCAAGACACCCTTAACCCTAAAGCGACACTGAACTTGTCGCTCCTGCAAAACCCATCATTTCATTTTGTCTCGTCTAGAAACCAAAACTTAAGACTTATTTCCACGTCAAACGGTCTCTTAGGGATTGCAGAAAGCCAAACTTAAGACTTATTTCCAAGTACACCCCTAAGAAATTTCATTTCATCGTGAAATCCGCGTCCCGAACTCAGGTCCCAGGTCTTTGGGTGCCCCCGAACTCCAATAACCCCCTTTTAGGATTTAGGGCTTGGGGTTTAACTTAATTCAGGAAATACCAACAGTCATCAAAGAGGATCCCTCTCTGAAGATCTGCTGCTTGATCAAAGGGTTGTTAGTGTAGGGCCCTTCGAGGTACTTCATACCATAGCGAAGATGAAGAATCCCAATATAGGGGCCTTAATAATTAGAATAGTGTTTTGGGGCCCATTATACTTGTAGTATAGTAAGGAACCCCAAAATCGTGGAGGTCATTGTTAAGGCCCCTATGTGACAGAGTACTGTAGATAAATGCCCAAGCGTGTTCTTGCGGAGCTTATTATTATGATGCCCTGGCTGTGGAGAGGAGTGGTCCAAGAAAAGCCTACTGTAGAATCGCTCCCGGAACATCTCCTTCAAGGAGTTGGGGGTTCAGGGTTGAGGGTGCCTTAAAGGCTTTGAACCCCCAAACCCTAAACCCGAGTTTAGCGCTTCCGGCAACCTGTCCGCGCCTTTTCTTGCCAGTTAACTCGCAAAGCTGGTTCCGTTCACTAACACTAGGTGGGGCTTTTAAGGCTTTTGAAAAATTTTAGTAAATGAGATCCTCTGAAGCCCAATAAGGAAAAAGATAAAATGTCCCAAAGCCCTACCTAGTAACACTACCTCAAAGAATCCGACTAACTCCACCTCGCTCTTGCAGCGATGCCATTGCCCGAGACTCTTTGCAGATGTTGGCCAGGAAGCATCTGGACAAATTACCAATGCACCGACTTTTCAAATTATCCCGAGGAGCCGTCCTCGTTTCAGGGCCGTTTTGTCGGATTTTTGCGTCCGGGTACCGAGAAGGAAAATCTGGCTCCTCCGGGGAATCTCATCTTCGGCTGATGCTCAGCGACCCTGACATCCCCTTGGCACCAGACGCCGCATTCCGTAGAATTGTGGCCGTATGCCCAAGTATTATGTATGCCTCACGAACATTCATCCAAGACACAACGTCTGGTGCCGCAGTCACTGTCCAAGGCTCCCAGTTGTTCCCCTTAACGTCCACTACACAAAAACTTCCTTCCGCGGCATCTTAGACACCGCGGCTGAGCGAGAAAAAAACACGCTGCGGCTGCTGTTGCGCTTGGCTGCCAGAGTGCACCACCCAAAGCGACGGCCTTGTTGTGACATCGGTGGGTCCGGGGCATCCCGAAACGATGTGGAGCTTTCACTTACACTAGTATACCTGTAACACCACCCAACAACTAGCAAGCTCACCAATGTTTCGAAGCAACCCTCTATCATATGTATGTGTATATATACACACACGTACATGTAGACACAGACGCGCTTCCCAGCAGATTACAAGAGTGTCTTCCCAGAAAGCCGATCCAAATTGCACTGGCCCCTATACACGAGAAACTCAGTCTTCGTTCTCACGAAACGTCTCCTGCTCGGGCTTCTCCTGGATATCCGCGAGCTTGTTGGCACAAGGAGCCCATTTTTAAAGAGTAGCTACCCGAAGCTATTCTTGGTAGGCTCTTAGTAAGAATCCAAGCACGTTATTCGCGAGGTCAGGGGAGTGGGAACACACACAACAGTAGTTCAGAAGGGAGCAACGATATCCCCTAACATTTTCTTGTTTGTCAGCAATACTCCCCGAAGCCCATTCTCACTATCACGTTCCTTTTGTAGAAACGTAAACCATGGTAGGTTGGGACATCGCTGATAAGGAGATCCATCAGGATCCAAAGAGGTGAACTTCAAAGATAGCATTTATGTACGAAGACGGGTTCGTTCGGGATTTTCGGGTTCATGTTTAGGGTTAAGGGTTCAAGATTCCATTTGAGGGCTTACTAGGTTGGCCCTTGAAAGCCTCTTTAGAAAAATCGTACATAGGGTCCTACTAAACCCAATACGGGAACATATAAAATGTCCCCAAGGGCCTACCTAGTTTAGGTTTAGGGTTCCTTAATTGGGGTTATGAGTAGTCATAAGTATAGTTACCTTAATTATAACCGCCTAGTTACTAAGTCCCATGATCCTTCAAGTAGGGTTTACGGTGGGTGGGCTGCCCTCTCACAGGCGCAGCGATGCTATGACATGTCCACACAAAGCTGTTGCTGACAGGCTTTGGATGATTTCATCTGCACATCAGAGGAGGGGGACTTCTTGTCAAATTTCGGGGTGTCACGACTCAATACGGCCCAAACCGTATAGTCGCAGTTTGGCCAAAACCTGCCATTCCAGTGAAAGTCTGCTGCCGTGCACCTCCTGCTTAATTTGCATCTGCACGTAGCAAAAACGCTGCTCCACGAGCAGGGCTGCTTCCAAAACTGGCCACTGTTCCAGGAAGGTTCCTACAAAGGCTACTTTGCAGGATCTCGCAACGGCAGAGGGTTCGAAAAATCCACCAGGACACGGATTAAGGGCAAGCTTTCCTAGTCTCGGGGCCCTGAGCAGCAAAAGGGCCTACATCCAATGAACCTATAGAGCACTTCTGGAACCTAAATTCACATCACCTCGTTGCACTCTTATTCGGCCATGGCCATTGTCTCGAGCAGCAGCCCTCAGAAATTCGGATGTGTCTGCTATACGATGCTCCTGCAAAAGGGAATCGAACTCCCTGGCAAGTCTCTGAAGCCCTTGGAACCCTCAACCTTATATAAACTTTAAACCCGAGACCTCACAAACCTGTAGGACTTCGGGTTGGGGGCTTCAGGCTAAGGCTTAGATCAACCAGCTCACTGCTCCCCTCCGGGCATCCAGGAGTTGTGAGATGGAGCGCAGTCCAACTCAACTTACTCCGGAATTCGAAGGGGCTGGGGAGTCGACTGTTTCGCAGCACCCTTTGCAGGACCTCATATAGCTCTCTCGGATTACGAATTGGTGCTTTCTGTCTTCCTGAATTTGGGCTCCGTTTTCTCCTGAATTTGTGCTCTCTGTCCTCCTGAATTTGTGCCGTTCCTCCCTGCTGCGGAGGATGGCACGGTGAGTACATCAACCAAAATGCGGTCGCATGCACCTGGCCCGCAGAGCTGCCACTGATTCAAAACTCCTACGGTTATGAGGAGACACAAAAACGTGTCGAGAACCTCCAAAGGGGCTCCCCCAAATAGAGGCCCAACTATAAGTCCTTCAACCGT